TGTCACAGCTTCACAAAGTTTAGGACAATGATGTTTAAGAACAATGAACCATGGTTGTGGGTCCATCTCTTCTAAAATGCAATTCAATTCTCTAAGAGCTAGGCCTGGTTGATCACGTTCTTGAAAGGGTGTATTTGAGCCGAAATCTTTATTTATAGGTTGCTTTTTGCCTATTAAAAATTGACTTTACCTCGCGAGGGCGTCATCGGACTCCCTTGCGTTGCAAAGCAACCCTTTATTACCTCATAGCTAAGGGCGAGCGAGGCGGGCAATGCATAATTGTTTATCACTATCAGACATAAACTATCTACAATTTTTCGGCGTTGATTAGAAAGGAATGGGTTTTTCTCTTTTTTCAGCTTGGCTGAGATCCTTCGCTTCTCCCGCGCTCAAAGACCAAAATATTAGTTTTGAACCAGCATCGTGGCACGAAAGTTATACTCTGCCTTCAATACCAAATTGCTTCTTGAAAGAGCTAGAGGTAGATGTGGAAGGTCTCGATGTGAGCTGCACCCGCTAGACTCCTTGGTAATAAATACAGTTTTTGACGAGATAGCAGCAATAAAACTTGCTAATTGTTGGACACAGTCCCCAATTCTTGCTCATCTTGATGGCTGAGCACCAAAAGATACGCCTTGTTAGGCAGTAAGAACATCCATGAAATCTACTGAATGAGATCATCTGCGACTGGATAGCATCTTTGGCTGAAATTTTGCACGTAGGTATGATTGCGAGCGACCCTTTAGCTAGGAGATCATGAATACATTCTCTGTGGCCCCATTAGAAGTATGGCCGAATCCATGGTTGTCCTAGCCTATCTCTTGCAGGTGAAGAATCCCTCCTTCCTTGGCTTCAAAAAGCACCAACACTAAAAACCGGCGGCTTATAATTGGGTACAATCCAATCTTCCACCGGCACCCGGCTGGGGCGCTCGTGGTCTTGATGTTTCCGTGCATTCCCGAAGCTGGTGGGCGCTTCCCGGTGAGCGATTTCACTTTGAGATTCTCTCATTCTATCTTGTCTAAAGAACGGCAAAAGTAAATTGAGCTGGTCGATCCGACAGGGAACAGACACTCAAACATGTCTAATTCCCTTGTAACAGAGATTAATATTTTTCTACGACAGTCGTGGGATTGGCTGCAAGTACTTTCAAGTGCAACAATGTGCCACTTTGCACAGTACTCCAAGAGTTGCCGCTAACAAACATGTGTGCTTATACAAGGAGCGGACAAATACTTCTACGGTTACTGGGTGTCCATATGGCTTCGCACTTCAAGCGGTGTATATATTAGGATTGAACCTGTATAGACTAATAGTTTTGGATCTATCATAAAAACGCTGCCATTTTTTTCTGACGCGCGACGTGTACCTGAGATTCTCGCTATTTTTAATATAACTGATAATTCGGTATCATGAAAATGCACAATCATATCAAGTATGATTTGTACAATTGTACTTAAAAGGAAGGGCGATTGCTTTACTTTCCCTGCTACACCAGAGATAGTCGAACGGTATTGTCGAACTCGACAAACGTCCGCTTCAATCATGTAACCAGTTATAACGAAATATGTAAACACTAACAACGAACTCGACGTATACCTCCGTTGTAGCGATAAATCTGAAGAATATACTTTTTGGAGGGAAATATCGCGGATAATATGGACGCCGATCGCTCGATTGAGTCTCATGCATCCATGAAATTTATAATTGATCTATATACTTACCGGTATCTCACAAATACATAAAAAACTGCAAGACCAGCAAAGCCGCAAAGTGGAGAAAGCTGGAAAAGTTAGTGACACGTGATGGGACCTTACCGCTAGTAACGCTGGCGATGCTGATTTCGATTGAAAATCGATCGGAGTCTTATTTCTGTCAACGATTCAGAGATTAAACCAGCAAATAAATACAGTAAATACGATGGTACGACGAGGAGATCGATTCCCGACGTGGTGGGAGAAGATCAATTCCGATTTTGAAGGGAAATGAACGACTTATGAGCTTGAAAAAAAATTTGCGACTGAATTAGAAATAGCAAGTGGTTCCTAGAGCGACATGCAAAGCATCCCAAGGACTGCTAAAGTTTTTACTTATAGAATCTGGGGTTCCTATGAAAATAATTCATATAATCTAGATTATATGGAGCTTGAGATTAGAAAAGAGTGAACTTCAACTTTTGTAAGAATTTCTGAAAGACACGTCGGTCTCGTCACCACTACATGTTTCAAGTAGAAACAAGCATTCATTATCACACAAAATGTTTGTGAATTTAAATAATATGGCACATATGCATGTGAGGACACCATCTGTAATGCTCGCTTCATAAATTCCCACACTGCCTACAAAAGGCACATAGAAATTTAATTTCATAACAAATTCGATACATGTGCAGACATTTTGGTGGAATTCACTTTCCGATCAACCATAATCCCATCAATTGATTGAAGCTGCTAGAAGAGCGTATTTTGTCACTTAGACATAGAACAGCTCCAGATTATAGCTCTGGTCGCCGTAGTATTCCATCTAGCAACCCTTGAAGCGATTCTTGTAGCTGTGGTATACTTTGGTGGCATCAAAGTATATAGCCTGACGAGGTTCCTACGTGTCCGAGTTCGATGGATAGCCGCGCAACCGAACCCTGCCGAGGCGCTGATGGCTCAATCACCTCTTTCCATGATGACGAGTTGATCAGTCATCGTGATTGACAATCATATCAGCCACCCATAATGGAGGTGGTGTTGATCGTGAAAACGATAGAGCGACTCTGGAGGTGTAGGGCGCTCATCGCGGGCAATTTAGGAATTGCAGCGTCTTAAGCTGGCTCACGATCATCTGTTGCAGATGCAGGCTCTGTTCACGGGGTATTGTGCGGCGAGTACCATTTGTAGCTTTGAGCGTTGGATCAGTAAGAAAGAGCAATTATTTGACGTCCTTCAAATCTTGTACGCCCTGAATAATCTCCAGAATGAAGAGTTGATTGATCTTTGCAGTCAATTGGAGAAGTGTCACGATCGGCTCGATCCCTTGCCACAGGTATTAGAAGATCGGCAGAACAACCCGTAAGATACGACTTGAGCCTACCCACATACAATGTTGAATGTCGGCGTATGCGTGGGGGATGGCCAAGGTATAAACATCACCATTGCATTTTTGACGTTAAACGGTCCAGAAAATTCTGGCAAAAGCTTTCTTCTTCCAAGTTGGAACGCTGTGTGTTTAGAAAGATTTGTTGTGCTTATTAGCACAAGATCATTAATCTTACAGTTTCTTGTTCTTCTATCCGCTCTTATTAGATATTTCTTTTTGCAGATTCAAAGCTTCCGCAACTGCGTCTCATGCAGATATCAAGACGGATTCTCTCTTCATAATATAGTCGTCGACGTGCTATTCCTCACGACTTGTTGTGTCGTCTAATGGTTTTAAAATCTAATTTGCTTTTAACTCTGTTACAGCATTTACCTCTCCGTAAAACCCTCTTTAAATAGAGACCTCGCCCTTTAGGAAGCAGGTACTCAAGGATGAATGCCAAAATTTACGTATATTTTTGAGTGCTCTACCGAGACATGCGTGGAGGTTTATAACGCAAACTCCGCGAGAAGACGAAATCAACTCTACTCTCTGTACGGCGTAGCGCCACTACGCAGTATTCCTGAACGCGATTCGCACGCTCTTTTTGACTGTCCGGTTTAGGATGTGCCGCTGTGACATGGACCATTTGGTGCCCAATAGACCAAAAGTACACGCCAAAATTTCGACGTGAAGCGGGCGTTATGGTCAGACATGATGTTACCAAAAAAGTCATGATCTCGGCAGTTATGGCCACATCATTATTTTGTCGAATGTGTGAACAATGCGCCAACAATCTGTGGCTTTCTTTTCAAAAAAAGCTGTACTACAGTTCGGAGACTTCCTTGTTCGCACGTGGCCAGTCTTCTTTGGATGCGCAGAGAAACTGTCGATTGCAATGATTTGCAATTTTGGCAACGACTACAGCCAGGTGATATACCATGAAATGTGTCAGTTTTATGACGAATGCCTCTATTAGATAGCAATTCATCTGGCACCTTGTAATGAAATATATCAGTATATTCCTTGACGAGACCATACACGGTGTTCATCCTTAGAGCATCCCAACGACTGCTCTTCAAACCTTCCCTTCTGTGTCTTAATACCAGATACTTCCGTAGTATCGATGATATCGTCGATAGGATTATCGACGATCACTCGTATTTGCGAACTCTAGACTTTCACCAGGCTACGTTTCAGCGTTTCTTGCTCATCAAAGGCATGAAAAGTCAATTTTTAGACTGAAATTGAAGGAATCTTAATCTATGCGTAATTGGTAACATCGACGTCACCTTTTAAACGTTCAAGGCCGCAACATTTACAAACTTGCTCGAAGTGTCTTGTTTCTGAACATTTTTTACATCCAGAGGTTCGCAAAAAACGTTACGGAAAACTACTCTTAGTAGTCCTCTTTCGATTCTTTTGTGATGAGTCGTTGCCCTTGGTTTCTGGCGCATGGCTGCCCCACCTCCGGTTGGTTCGTTAATTCAGCTTTTGGGCTTCTGTTGTGAACAGGGGCGAGGGGCTATCGCTCACTACAACAAAACCTGTAAAATCAGTGACTTTTCCATTAAATCCATAAGCCAATATCAATTCGTCTGTGTCATGCAGCGCAAATTAGCGCTGC